AAATCTTACTTTCTATCTTTCCATTAGTTCTTTCCCATCTAAAGCTGCTGAATCTTTCTCCAGTTCTTGCAGTAAAATGTTACCAGTGAGAATACAGCCCTTTAAGGCTTTTTAACTATAAAGTATAAATCCCCATAGTGTTCATGTGTTTATGATTACTTCTGATAGATATTTTAAAATAGCACAATTATTACGTAAATAGATTAGAAAGCTTTCATCAAAATTTGGTAAAATGGCAACTTAGTCAAGGAAACTGAAAAATACTCCAACCATAGGCTAGCATGAAATTCCTAAATGCTCTTCTTGCCATGGTTTCAACTATTTTTCCCAAAATACAAACAAAAAATTTGTGACAGAAACTGTCATCTCCTGATTGATTAAAGTACTTTTTGTTGGCAACAGAAATCAAGCCATCAAATACAACTATATACTTTAATTTTTTTCTAAAAACCAGCCCTTACCAGATTAAAGCACATTTCAAAACCTTTCACCTGGTACATTAAAAAGGAAACTATCGATGTCCACAGGTCAACAGGGCTGGAGAAGCAAAGTTATCAAGCCAAAGACCACAGGAAATATTTCTGTTCTTAATCTCCCAACCAGCCAAACGTTACCAAAGCTGCCTTAATGCAAAGATGACTTTCTACCATTATTTCATAAAGCTCTGACTCTTCATATTTTACAAGTTACATACCATCACAATTACTTCTATGGTAAAAGTCTCAAATTAAAGCTGTGGCCCTCACTAAGTCTTCTATTCTCCAAAACGCACAAATGGTAGGATTTCAGAAAGGAGAAACGCAAGTCCCATCTCTAAAAAATTTATCTGAATCTATTTGGTTCCTGAGTTCTAACAGCAGGGGTATGATATCCATAACTGGCAACTTCCATACTGAGTAAATCATTATGAAACTAAAGAATGCAAACTTTTAAATTAGGCTGTGGCTATAATAGGACTTTAAATGAAACCTGAAAAAGAACTGTAATCATATAGTGTGCTTTTCCATCTCAAAACTCTTGTTTGAGAGCTGAAAAGTCTGATACACTGAATCCTATATAAGAGTTTTACCTGTTTAGCTTTTGGGTTCTTCCCAGCTGAACTCGTCTCATTTGTACTTCCGTCCATTCCTCTCAAAACACTGATGAAATCTTTCTTGGAAACAGCTGATATTAACTTAGAACGCTTTCTAATAGAGTTTCCAGCTTCTTTAACCTTTTCATCCACATTCTTTTGATGTTTCTGAACAGCATTAAATAACTGCACCACACCCCTACAGAACATAAAATGACCCGGACAATGTAGTTGTTCAATACAATAGATAGAACACAAACTCTGAGGATAGGAACAATGTATTTTCACCTCCTGGAAAAGAGGCAAGCACTTAATAATCACTCAAATGAAAGACTTGGATAAAAGGTTAAATACATATATAAAATGAACATATATTTCAATAAATAAATATAAATTTCTGAATGAAGAATAAATGTGGATTGGTATTT